TACATCTGTATGTAATAATCTCGATATTGATATTAGAACTAGTTTTATGTAATTTAATTATAATGTAGTAAAATTTCATGTAGATAATTATTGATCCAATTACAATGTTTTGGAGACAAATGGGTGGACATTTGAAAAAGGTTGAAACTTGTTCTCTTGGTGTAACATGGGGAATAGGATATGATAATATTGCATGGGTATATACTGGTGGTTGGGGTGGTTTATTCCTGAAAGGTCGTTTTCTATAATAAAAAAATTTATACTAAAAAAAATTAATTTATGAATTAATCTTATAATTTTAATCTTATTGATTTATATAGGATTAGATAGTAGTACGGGAATAAATACTATGGTAGATACTCATAATTATTATGTGTATGAAAATCAACGTTGGAATCCAGTAACTGGATATACTTCTCATGGTCTTCCAACGGATCGTTATATGTGGAGTGATGCATCTGGACGTCATAAACGTACTCGAGAACATACTAAATTATTATCGATGCAATGGCATTGGGTAAGAATATATAATAACATATTTAAATTTTAATATTTAAATTCTTTTATCTAAATTCTAATGATCAATTTTAGTACTCTTATTTACTACTCTATTTTAAGTTTGGCATATTATATTTTCCTTCCTTATTTTGATTAAATTTATTTTCTTTTTTATTTTCTTTCGAAAACTCAAAATAAAGCACAAAATCACAAATTTTATTATATAAGAATTATTATGCAAGAATATTCTTTATTAGAATTCTTTATTAAATTCTTTATTAGAATATAAATACATATTATTTTATGTAGAAAATACAATAAAATATTAATTGTATTTTTTATAAGATTCAAATAATAAAATTTAAATATTTTATTTTATAATAGGTGTCAGATTGGATAGTAGATTTTCATACCCCTGGAGGTGTTGATAGAGATGGTTGGCAATATGCTACAGATTTTCGTTCTCAATATCATGGTAAAAAACAATTTACTGATTATGTTAGAAGAAGACGATGGTTTCGAAGGTGTCAATTAACAACTAGCGGACCTTGGCAAGAATTAGGAATACAAAATTGATTGATGTTTCTTTATATGTAATATATATATATATATTTTATTAAAAAATATATATAAAATAATACTAATAATAATTTTTAATTTACAATTTTTAGGCAACTGACAAACCTGGTTCAGATATTCCTGTTTATATATGGGCAGTTGCCTCTAATGGTGAAGCTTTATTTAGAAGAGGTGTTTCAGAATCATGTCCAATGGTATATAATAATTATTTATAATAATTAATCAAACTATAAATATCTGTTTAAGCTGTAAATAAAATTAATATTTATTTATAGGGAGTTTCATGGGAGCATATACCAAGTGATCAAGCTTTAGTAGGTATTTCATGTGGTCCCTGCGGGCAAGTTTGGTCTGTTGGAAAGAATGGTTCCTCTTATTGGAGATTAGGTATTACTTCTGTAAAACCAACAGGTATAAATATTATAACAGCATAAATAAATTTTTAAAATTATTAAAATTCTTTCTAATTACTATATTATAATTTTAGGAATACAATGGCAGAATGTTGAACCACCAGCAGGTGCTCATTTAAAACAAATTTCTGTTGGAAAAAACGAGGTGTGGGCCTTAGATACAACAGGTAGATTACACGTACGACGCGATGTACAGGTGAATGTTTTTCCAGAGGGAACATATTGGCAAACGCTTCCTGTGATGCCAAATGATCCTATACATATAGGTATATTTCATTCAATTTATGTATTAAATAGATTATTGGTTAGTTTAATTTTTATTAATTATATAAAATTGAATAACAAATAATATATTTTTTATTATAACGATTTATGTAATTTTATTAAGAAAAGAAAATATTTAATTAAAAAAAATTATCAGAAAAAATGTACTAAATTTTTTTTTACAAAAATTCTAAAAAAATATATATATAATATATATATAATATATATATATAGTATATAAAATATATGATACAATCTTAAATTAGAATTTATTATAAATTTATTAGTTTATAAATATATTTTTTGATTTTATATTCACAAATATTATTGTTCATTTAATATAATAATTTATTTTATATATTTAATATACCAATTAATTTATTAATAAAATATTATATTTTATATTTATTTTTTTATATTTTTTTATATTTTATAATATATTTTATTTACGATATAATTTAAACTATGAACATTGTTTATATATTTCAGATATGTCCGTTGCAAATGCAAAACAAGGTTTTCGACACGTTGCTGTTGCAAGAGAACAAGGCCAAGTTTGGGCAATTTCAGGTGCTGGTATACTTTGTCGTAGAATAGGTATTACTAATGACAATCCAGCTGGAACTGGTTGGGCAACTGGTATAGGGGTGAGTTGATTATTTGATAAATTATAAATAATGATAAATTATAAATATACCATTGTTTTGTGGAGTTAAAATTATTATCATATAAAATTAAATATTTACATCTATTATAAACAGGCAAATTGGCAGTATATAAGTGTGGGAAGTCTTATAAATAAAACTAAATGAAGAACTAATTTTTAAATGGAAAATTAATTATTAATGAGATATGCAAAATATTAGTATCTATAACACGTTAATATTTAAGAATACAATACTCTATCGTTTAATTTCTTTATATTTTTCAATAAAAAAAAATCAATGCATATGCGTATATGTAGCTATATTTATATATATGATATGGCTTAGCTGTTGCAGTTGACTTAATTTTATGATACAACAAGCTACTATGATATATTTCAAGTAACAGAGATATTATTTTATCTAAAACGTACAAAGAACAATAATATGAAATTAATTGTTCGTATTACTTTCACTTATATTCTAATATATAAATAATACATATAAAAAAAATAATATTAATGAGATTATTTATACACGTCTCTCTCTATTAATATAGTTTTATTAAAATTTTATATCAAATGAAAGAAACATTCCAAATGTGTGCATTTAAATAAACAAATATAATTCGTAATTATACAGAGCATTAATATATTCACGAAATATTGTTAGACTCGATTTTTTAACTAAAATAAATCCAAAATTTTATATATAAAAATCATTTAAGGCTTATTTTTTAAATTATAAGCAATTTAAATTTACAGAATTGAAGATGAAATAAATTGACAATAGAATGTGATGATATAAGAATCTAGTTTTATTTTATTTAAATTAATCTTTTTACGCTTTGTATAAAACAATACAATACAAATTTAAGGTGCCTATAATTTAATAAATAAGTTTCAGTCGACATTTTTGTATATCAATTTTTTTTTTTTGGCTTCTAGAATCGATTCTTTAAAAATATCCCGCAAATATATTAACACTCTGTACATATGTATAGTAAAAAATGTGACGTTATATATTAAATTATACGAAATGCCTTGTCTAGCTATAAATTATTTTGATTATTATAAAATAAGAAAATTGAACATTAAAAGAGACTGTTTATTCAAATATTTGAAAAATTGAAATTATATTAAAATAAATAATCTTTATATATATTTTTTTTTTACATTTTTTTTTTATTACATATTTTATTCATATATAACAATTTATTAAAAATAGTTTATTTTAATAAGTTATTAAAAATTAACTTTCGTAAATATTAAAAAAATAAATCGTAAGTAATGAATCATAAATTAATATATATAATTGTATTAAAACAATGCTTCATTCTTCTTTTAAAAGACAATGTATTAAATGTTCCTGTATAAATAGATTTCATGTAGTGCCTCTAATACTATGATTTTATATTTATTCTTATTCTATGTATAAACTTATCAAAATATAAATTACATGAAAAAATTTTGAAATTATTATGGTTAAATATTATAAATTTTTATGTAATATATATGAATTTATAATTAGTAATTAAATTATAAATTTTTATTATGAATATTATTTCATTGTGAATTATTAATATTAAGTTTCATTATTGTATGTATGTAAGAATATATAAGTATATCATGTCAATGTTTATGCTGATATATAAATACAATTTATTGATAAACATATATGTATTATAATTTCTAGTATATAATTAAATTATATTATATACATATATATAAAATAAATAAATATTATATGTATTTATTAATAAATTTAAAATTATTTATAAATATTTATAAATTAATTTATAAAAATTTATTAATAATCTTAAGTTTATTATGTATAAAATATATATATTCGTGAAATATTTTTGGTTTAATTGTAGAAAAATAAATTAAAATTAATATATAAAAATATTAGTTAAAACTTAATTACATTATATATTATTAAGCTAAATACAAATAGATTAAATTTTATCTCTTTCATGTCATTTATTTCGTTTCATCTAACACAAATTTAAATTGCTTATAATTAAATAAATAAATTAATCAAATAAACAAATCAACTAACATTTTTTTATACTTTTATATTTGTTTTCCAACTTCTTCAAAATTTGATTTTCCAAAGATAGAATATAATAATATTCTATATATACAGAATATTAGCTTTAAATGAAAAAATTTTATATTTTTATTTTTTATATTATCTCTTTCATAGTTTTATCGTTATTCTTGAAATCGTTATTTTATATATAAATTATATATTCTTTAAAAATATGTGCTATAAAAGATAAAAATATATTACGAAATAATATTTTTAGAACCAAAAAATTTTCAATTTTTTTTTATTATTAAAAATAATTGAGATTAATATTTTATATAATAATTAATACGAAACAATGTATTTTATTCCGTAATTATTTAAATAAATAATAGACATAATAAAACTTTTATATGAAATAGTTTACTATATAAAAAAGGAATACGTTTGACGTATATAAAAAGAAAATAAATTTTTTTACATAATTTTATATATTATACAATAGTTCAGATTTGTTTATTAGAATAATATTATGAATATTTATATAATATCTAATGCATTGATTTAAAAATGTGTAACAATGTATATTTGTCATTTGTCAAAAAGATACATTTTGAATTCAAAAAAATTCTATACTAAAAATTTTGTTCTAAAATAATATATAAAAAATAATTCGTATAATTAAAATATATTCTTTTTTTAATATTTTAAATCTATTAAAAAGATAAAATAACATCACGAATATTATTTTTTAAATTATCGTAATAATCACATATGTAATATCTAAGATCTTTTTCATAGAGCAAATTTTTATTTAAATGTACAAAAAAAATATCACGTAGCAAGAATGTTATTATTAGAATCTGGTTACAATTCTAACTTGGTCAGCATATTTTCGTTTTATCATTTCAGCTTCAATTTTATTTTTTTTTCCTTGTTCACTATGAGATATGCCATAAAAGAAATAAATAGTAAGACCTGTACAAAATATAGATATAATATATAATAAACTATAATGTTTTTGCTTTTTTCAAATATTATCAATATATATATATATATATATATACCAATAGCCATCCAAATAGAAAATCTGATCCAAGTGAAAGCATCTAATTGCAACATCAAATATAAGTTTATAAAAATACTGCAACATGGAAGAAGTGGGACTAATGGTACCTGTAAAATAATAAGTACAATTAAATATAAGATTTTTTTTTATAACATATTTAAAAAAATTCTTTTTTTAAATATGCACCTTAAATGCTAGATCAATTTCATGAGCAGGTTGTCTTGCAATAATAATTATGATTAATAATAATATGTTTACAAGTACTATTAATATCACAGATTCTATTACATTCTTGCCAAATACTTCGGTATCAACGTAATTAATGAAAAATGCAGTAATAAATATAACGACACCTGTAAAAATAATAAGACAGATATAAAAAATAAGAGTAATGTTAATCATAGTTAAGATTTGTATATAATTTTTGTTATATAGATAATTTATATAAATATACATTACTTACATAAAATTGCAATACTGTATTTTGCAACTTTAATAGACATCTCAGTTACTTCTTTTTGATTCTGCAAATTGACAATTTGTTTTAAAATGTTGAGTGGTGTTAACTTATAACCATCTATTTGTGTAATAGACTGAGTATTTGACATACATTCTTTTCCTTGATATCTAAATAGTACATATAACAATTATATTGTATTTATTTATATGCTTAATAAATAAATAAATATATATATATATATATATATATATAT